CGTATGTACTTGGGTGGCTAGCCCCTTCTGCAGTTCGCATCATCGCAGCCATGTTTCTATTTTTAGTGTGTTTGCTCGATAAGAGCTAGGACAGGTATGTTGTCTTAACCTGGAAATTACACCTTCAGGTCCAAGTGTAGACCCACCTTTACTTTGTGACAAGCCAGGATGTCACTCTGCAGTGCACTAGCTTGGTATGTTCTGTCTGGCTGTGTGGATCGTGCTACTGTGCACTAAAAGTTCTGTAGTGCACTTTGATGAAACTTTGTGTGTGGTAGCATGGTCCACATGGCCAATTAGTGTGCAGCAAGCTAGTGCACGGTAGATTTACACCCCAGTTTGCTGCACACTAAGTCTCAGCATAGACAAGCCCTTAGATGCTTATTTGCCTTTCATCAGATTCAAGTGCCTGATCTTCTTTATAAGAGCTTTCAAAAGGAAAAAATGGTAACCCTGTGGAAACGACATTGCTCTGTGACACACTTTGTGTCTAATGGCACAGGAGACCAGGAACCCTCAGAGGAGTTTGGCACAGAAGTTCTTCCAAAGTGGGGAGACTCTATTTAAAACCTTCTTATGAACACAGCACATTTGCATTGTTCTCCATTTGAAATATTTTCATTATGAGAATTATATCTTCCTGGAGCACCTAAGAGAAGGCACTCATACCATGGTCATGAGCATGGTATAAATGCCTTGATAGAGACTGACTAATGAAACCAAGATATTTCATATTTAGCCCAGTGTAACAGTGCCTTTTGTTTGTATTGAACATAATGCATGAAGCAATGACAGTGTTCCTTTTTTGTAGAACTAGCCCTCTGAATTTACTGTGAAGGGGACAAGCCTTCTGTACCACACATGGCACAAGGAACTCAGTGTATATGGAACTAAGGGGGACATCTTGGATTTTCTTCAAAGCAATGGCAAGGACAGTCCATCCCTGGGACTAGCAAATCTGTAGTTACTTTCTTTGTTCTCAGCTTCTTCCATTGCATCTTGTTGTTCGTAAAAGGTTCAAACATTACAGATAAGGCTATAGACTGTATTAATAAAGAGCAGGTAATTGATATGTTTCATCACTACTTCATATTTCCTGCTTTGGCAATTTTCTCTAATTTAAGAACATCCATAATTTTAACTGTAACCTGCCACTTTACTATCATAGCTCATTATGGGAACCTGGAGGCATTTGAGGGTCTCAAACACTTTAGAAAACTCCTTTGAAAAAGAATACTTAAAAGTAAACAATATATAGACCATACATAACCCTGGCTTCTGCTTTCTTACCAGTATCTGACCATGGACTGATTAAATTAATCCTAGAATACATAAGGAACTAGCAGAAGCAAACTTGGAACTGCTAGCAGTTACCTTTGAGGACTTCTGAAGAATGGGTGAGGTCCCAGAGGACTGGAGAAGAGCAAAACTAGTATCTATCTTTAAAAATGAGAACAAAGACAACCCAAGGAGTTTATACCCTAGTCAGCCTAATTTTGATACCTGTAAAGATATTGGAACAAATTATTAAACAATCATTTTGTAAGCAGCAAGAGGATCATAGGGTTACAAGGAATAACCAACATGGATTTGTGAAGAACAAATCATGCTAAATCAATCTAATTTCCTGGTTTGACAGGGTACTGGCTTAGTGGATGTGGGGAATATGAATATATAATCTTGATTTTAGCAGGGTTTTTGATACAGTCCCACATGACAGTCTCATAAGCAAACTAGGGAAATGTAATCTAGATGAAATTACTATAACATGGGTACACATCTGATTGAAAGACTGTACTCAGAGTAGTTAGCAATGGTTTGCTGTCAAACTCAGAGGGCATATTTAGAGGGGTCAGTCCTAAGTTCAGTATTATTCAATATTTTAATTAATGACTTTGATAATGGAGTGGAGAGTATAGTTATAAAATTTGCAGAGGACACCAGGCTGGGAGGGGTTGCAAGGATTTTGGAGGACAGGATTAGAATTCAGAACAATTTTGGCATATTGGAGAATTCAGCAACATGAAATTCAGTAAAGGGAAGTGCCAAGTACTTCACTTAAAAAGGAAAAGTCTAATGCACAACTACAAAATGGGGAATAATTGGCTAGGAGGTAGTACTGCTGGGAAGGCTCTGAGGATTATAGTGGATCACAGAATGAATGAGTCAACAATTTGCTGCTGATGTGAAAGGTTAATATTCTGGGGTGTATTAACAGGCGTGTCATATATGAGACATATGGGAGGTAATTGTGCTGCTCTATTTGACACTGGTGAGGCCTCCACTGGCATACTGGGTCCAGTTCTGGGTGCCTCACTTTGCAAAAGATGTGGACAAATGGGAGAGAGTCCAGAGGAGAGCAACAAAAATGACCAAAGGTTTAGAAAACCTGTGAGGAAACGTTAAAAACACTGGGGATGTTTAGTCTTGAGAAAAGAAGATGGATTGAGGACCTGTTAAATCTTCAGCTATGTTCAGGGCTGTTGTAAAGTGGACTCAATTATTCTCCATATCCCCTGAGGATGGCACAAGAAGTCATGGGCTTAATCAGCAGCAAGGGAGATTTAGGTTAAAGATCAGGAAAAATCTTTCTAACTCTAAGGACAGTTAAGCTCTGGAACAGGCTTCCAAGGGAGGTTGTGGAATCTCTGTCACTGGAGGCTTTTATGAACAGGTTGGACAAAAACCTGTCAGGGCTGGTCTAGGTTTATTTGTCCTGCCTCAGCACAGGGGTCTGGATTTGATAGCTCCTTGAGGTCCCTTCCAGCCGTACATTTCTGTGATCTCTGCATAAGGCCCTGGAAAATTCTCCCAATCTGCCTCTACATCATCTCAGTAATCTTACCTGCTCACTGCCTACCTGAAGTGATGCGCTAGACATCAGCCCCTCTCATGTAATCAAGAGAGAAGCAAAAGTGAGACTTTCCTGCAGAGCCAGGTTCTGGAATCTGTTTTGTGCCACTGGCCCTCCTGAGAAGGCCCAAATGCGCCATGGCATGTGATTACTGTGAGTTTATTGTCCTCAAGCTGAGTCCTGTTGCTGCCTGCTATGGCAGGCACAGTGCCTGCTGGCTGGTTCTTATGCAGAATATATTTTGGCAACCCCAACTTAAGACAACCTGTTGTTTTGGTAACCCCAGTTCGTGAAGTCTGTGTAATCTTTTTCCAGCTCCTGTTCTGCCATGTATCTGTTCACAGAGCTTTTCATGGTCTAAAGAAACCTGTAACTCCAGCATGCCATTGCTGTGACAGAGGAGAGGACTGCTTTCAGAAGAAATGACTCACGTATTTTGCTGAATTTAGGAGCCCACCTGTTGTTGGCACCTGTCCTCTAGTTTAACTAGTAAAGCACATTTGGAGAATGTGCTAGCCGAACTTATGGGTATAGCAACTGCAGGCTGACAGTAGCACCCAGGAGGTATTTTGGGCGGGGACTCTCTCATGACAAACTTAACCCAGTTATGCCCCAAAGCATCAGAACCCTTGGAAATTTTGTGCTGAATGTTTGTAGTGAAATTTGAAACTACCTGATTTGGTGTGGGCACTATGGAGGTTAGGGGGTCCCCAGCCAGGGAAGGGACACTGGTATGAATATCAGACAGGTAGGTAGGCAGGCACCACTCAGAAACTTAGCTTAGTTTAATGTGTTTGCTTATATTATTGACTAAGATAATGTTCAGTGCAGTGGAGAATTGTCTGCTCTTCTTGTTCTTCTCTTTCCCTGCACCTCTTCTTGCTTTCCCATTTCTTTTCTGTCCATTTCCCTTTCTTTCTCCCCATCTCTGATTTTTCTTCTGATTTGAATCAGCAAAATATATGCCAAGAAAAATATGATTTAATAGAAAATGCTATAACTGTTCTGATGGGAAAAAGGAATTTCAAAGTGCTGTGTCTGTATGATGATGTCATCAAAGGACAGGATTTCAGCCAAGTCTACTCCTGAGCAAATACCTTGTCAGAAGGAGTCTGACCTTGTAATTAATATGATAGTAACACTCTCTAACTATGTGTCTCTGAATATTAATACAGTATGAACACATATCGACTTCAAAGGCATTTTGAAGTAGTCAACAGTAATTAGTAATCCTCTGGGAATTGAGCTGCCCAGCTGAGGGCCTGGGCCCTACAGATGCAGGAGGTATGGAGAATTCCATACTTGCAGTGTAATATGTGATGATTACATTACAGCGCTGTGTTTGGGGGGATGCATGTTGGTGTGGGGGCTGTTCATTTGATTAATAGAAGAAAGAGAAACCTATTTGCCTGCAGTCCTTCCCCACAGCTGCCTCTTCAGGATGGTTACCTACAGCACTGCTTTTCTTTTCCCACTGTAAAAAATGTTGTTAAAGTAGAATTAATCTGCCTTTAAATGATAGAATACTGCTTCATACATCTATATTCTTCCTACGGAGAGACTTCACAAATGCGAGCAGACAAAATGAGGAGCCACCTAAGGAAATAGCAAAGAACTGCAGTTTCTCGAGCTGCAGGGAACTGACCATAGGGGCTACAGGTTGTTACCTGGATGGTTTTCCTTTTCTGACTGGTGTCTGGGCTAAGGGCTGCCAGGCAGGAAGCTCTGGGTTTAGTGCAGTTTTGTTACTGTGCTTTTGTGAGCATTGTGAGATGTCTGTATAGAATTTAGTGTTTGAGCTTTTGTTGGTATTTGTGCATTTCAGATTTGGAAAAGGGCTAAGTGCAAAACTTCTTTAAAATCTCTATTCCACGACCATGTAATGCCTCAGCCAACCCTTGTTAAAGAAACTTTTAGACACACCATGGTCTGGGGCATCTCTGTCTCATGAGACCAGAGTTTGTCATAGGCTTCAGTCCAGATGCTTGAAAGGGTGCCTTTAACTCGTTTGTCAGTGCTTTCTTCACTGGGTGCCTTTGAAATGAAAGGCTTGTGTTAGACTGTAATCCCTCAGAGGAAGTTTGGCTGTGCAGTGGAGATGTCGGAGGCACTAAGACCCAGGAGGCTCCTGCCTTGTTGGCTGGAGCAGGGCAGGCTGTGCATGTACAGAGGGAAGGAAGTCATTAGTGCAGGCTGAGCCGTGGAGTTTGGGGCTCTTGCTGGATTTCCCCACCAGTATGTAACTTTGTCCTTGTGGCAGTTTTTTGTGGGCAGAATTGGGCACCCAGCCAAGGCTGCTCCTTACACTGCAGGGTCTGTAGGGCATGTTCTCCTGATACACCTTTGGAATTTACTTCGTGAAAATTTGACTGAAGCAGAAATGAATCCTGGAGTTGGGAATTCTTCCAGGCTGCGTGTGAGGGAATCATTGGTTTGATCTTTGTTAGCAGAGTAGCTTGGATGGCAGCGGGAGTGTGTGTGTGTGTGTGCTGATTTCCTGCAGGAGAGAGAATTGCAGCTCCTGCTTCACCAAGGCTCTTCCCTGAAGGAGAATCCCTATTCTAGGGATCCATAAGGCTGCAGGTCTCCCTGGAGAATGACTTGTCCAGGCAGTGGAGTTGCTGCTTCTGGGACTTCCTGATGGGCAGGGTTTTTATGGCATTTCCACCAGTTTTTCTTGAGTTAAATTCCAAGAGACTCGAGACTTTTCCCCTTTTTCTGGCTCTGTAATTTCCTTCTCCAGTGACTATGGCAAAGATTTAAAGGGGCAAGACGGAGGCAGCATGACTTGCAGCTGCAGCTTCCCTGCATCCGCCACTAGCATCCAGACAATATCTTGATGCTCAACGTTTCTGCTTTACAAATATGATGAAATGGCAGCCCCGGAAGAAGGTGAGTGATGGGAGGAGGTGGGAAAAGCTGCCCAGTGTTCCCCCCCACAGATAAATCCTGGGACCATCCAGCACCCCTCTCCTCTACAGGTGACCATGGTGAGGGTTGAGCAAACCCTTCCCCATCCCCCACAGGTAAATCCTGGGAGTGGGAGTGATCCTTCCCTCCTCTCCTTTATAGGTGACCTGGGAATTGAGTAGTTCCATGCTTCTGCGAGGACAGCATACACGTTCTATTGCTGTTTTCATTATCACATTGTTTTACAGCACCCAAAGTATGCAGGGTGCTGTGTGGGGCTATGTTATCCTCCTAGGTTGTGACTGGCAGCATTAGTGAGCACTGATTTTTCTTCGCTTCCTTTGTCATTTCTCAACTCTGTTCCCTGCACTGGCCCACGGGTAGGAGGCACAAAGAGGAGAAAGGTGGACTAGTAGCTTCGTAGTGTAGGTTCTGGCCTGGATGCAGCCCCCTTGTGCTGTAACCTGACAGAATGTGCCAAAAAGGGCTTTGGAGGTGATTGTGTACTGGGGAGCAGAAATCTGATGTAGATTTGCAGTGGGCACTGAACCCTGGGGAGGGAAGCACAAGCTCCTTGCCTCTCGGGGTTGGGGGGGAACAATGCCTTTTTTATTCATTCCTGGCTCCAAACCTTTGGAGATGTGTAATCAGGGTTTGGAGGAAGGTAAAAGCCTGCAGAACATATCGTACCTCTTGCCACTGTTCCATTATGTTGAAAAAAGCGCTGAAATTGTACTTGGAATGGCCTAGCCCTGAAGGGGTTAATGAGGCTTTTAGGCCCACAACAGCTTCTCTGGGGTCCCACTGGGGGGCGAGCAGAACATTCACACAAACACAGGGATGGGACGGTTGCAAGGGTACAAGGGGTGGAGCTGCCTCAGCCTATGTGCATGTGCCTGTGTGGGTGCATAGGTCAGCTTTGTTATTTGCTCTGCTTCTCGCTTAGAATGCATGTACACATTGCATGCCTCCTCCTCCTCTAAGGCCATGAGTGTCTGCTGACCAGCGTGCCTGTAGGAGTGCCGCTCTGTGTGCATTTGCCACCACGATTCCACCTCTGTGTGCAACAGTGATTGTGCCTTTGTGTGTGTCTGACTGTGTTTGGCGACGGATCGTAAATAGTAAATCTCTCTTTTCCGGCTATTTCCTAATATGGCTCCTGTGTTGGAAGCAGAGTCTACAAAGCTCGCTCAGTAGTTACGTAAAAATAAATTGCCATTGGCCACAAATAGTGTGTGAGATGAGGGAATGACCTCTCCAGCTGTGTGCTGTGAATGCAGTTAGCAAGTTGTCTGTGTTGTAGAGGCTCATTTTTGCTAACATGCCTGGATTGTGATAACTATGCAGTGACCCTAGTGGTTTGCCGCATAGCAGGACATTTTTAAAAAACACATTTGGCAGTTTGTTTTATTGACATTCTTTAAAGGAAAATCTAGCAAACCGAATGTGCTGTGCCCCCCTCCAGCAATGACCCTCTGCTTCTGGCAGCTGTGGGCTATTATATTTCTTTGGAAAAACCTGCTTGAAGCTCTCTTTATAGCATGATGTGTGATATTGTGTTTTACATCAGGGCAGAAATAGAAATCATATGTGAAATGCGTGAGAGGGTCTCCTGCTTTGAGTGTTACTAGACACTGAAATGAACAGTGCTTCAGAATAGCGTGATTGGAGTTTGTATTCCCACTGCAGCTCAGGGTAATGGGTTAGGCTTCCATATCCTGACACCATATCTCGTCTCTTCTCTCCATTCTGAAGCCCAGAGATGTTCTTTTAATATTTCCAACCACTGATGTCTCAGATTAAAAACTGTTAAGTAGAAACAACTGAGGGAATGTAAGCTTGTTGGAGGCGTCTGTTCATTTATCAAGCTTCCGTCTCCATCTTCCTCCCTCAAATTGCTTTTAAGATGTGTACAAACTGTACATTCATAAATGTCTGTTTTTACTATTTCCACCAAACATACAGTAACTCCTGTGGTTAGGGCTGTGCAAAGCCCTCTAGGCCATGCATACAGAAGTATTGACTGAACCACTGAAATATTATTCTTGGCAGCTGGCTGGACTTTTTGACTCTAGAAGATTCTATTTCAAGTGTCCGGATTCAATTCACCGTATTGGCTCACCCTGGTGATGCTTAAATCACAATACCAGAAGCTATATTTATTCTCTGCACTAATGTCTAGTTCATAATCCCACATTATGATATTTCAGGCAACCAAATTTGATTCTGTAGAATGCGTAGGAGATTTTTTAATTCAGCCTGGGCTATCACATATTTTATTAATCTGGCTGAGCTGGTAGTCTGAGTAAAAATAATTCCTTCTGCTGTGATGTGATGGAAACTCTTTTCATATTGAATTCAATTGTAGTATAGTAGCAATAAAAAACCTAGCAGAGATTTGGTTTATTTAGTCACTGTTGCCAGAGTGCTCACATGAGCATGGCCAGGCTTTCTGCTGCCTTGCATTAATGCTTTTGTAGTGTTAGGATCATGTGCTTTATTGAGCAGTTTCAAGAAAATAAATCAGGCAAAACACTAACAGATGGCACAGGAGTACCACTCTTACTCAGTAGATCAATATCATTTTAACCAAGCTAAGGAGAAGATACAGTAGCTAGCATTTCTGTAGCCTCCAGCTACGTTTAGGTGTAGGTCAGTTCGGATAATGAAATGACTTGCCTGTCTCTTGCTTATTAAACAAATGTTATGTTACAAAACCAGGAACTGCAAACATTTGTAAATGAGCAAACAGCATATTTCCTTAAATTTACCAAATGAGTGCTCTATTTTGATTTATTAGATTTGCACTTGCCCCCTTTGTGCCATGTTTTGTCTAGAGATTTTGAAGGGGTATATTCTTTGCCCAGGCTGTGCCCTTTCAGGTGCCTGGCTAAGTACCATAGGAGTGGTTTAACAGAGCATGCAACTTACCAGCTGCATTAGTGCATGGATAGTCCTGTAAATAGACTGAGAGCAAGCATCCTTTTTTCTGATCCTAAGGTGTAGCTATAACTTTTGAAGTGGCAAAGAGTCCTGTGGCACCTGATAGACTAACGAGCGTATTGGAGCACTGCATGACATGAATCCGACAAAGTGGGTATTCACCCACGAAAGCCTTATGCTCCAATACATCTGTTAGTCTATAAGGTGCCACAGGACTCTTAGTCTGGATCTGTAAAAGCCGCCAACACGGCTACCCCTCTGATACTATAACTTTGATTCCATGCATTTTGCACCTGGCAAATAAATATATAAAAGGGATTGAAGTAAGCCTCTGCTCATAGACTATCTGTATGTTCATAAAGTTAGAAAGATTCAAACTTCGTGTAATCAAGCAATTAATGTTAGCTGTCTTAGGGTAAATAGTGTAAACAGAACTGCAATTAAGAACTGTAAGGAAGGAGACGGTGACTAGATCTTCCAGTGGCCTATCTATTCGGTCTTACACAAGGATTATGTGAAGCATGGCATCCTGGGAATCTCGCACCATGTGTTGTCTTAGTGGTATTGGCGAGTGGCTCATTTAGAATTCCCCCATGAAGAAAACAGTCTATTTCCCAGAGGACCTCACTGTTAGATCCCATCTAGCAATTGTCACCACTGGGCACTTGCACTCTCCTCTCCAAGCCCACCTGGTAGGCCAGTAGTGCCTCCTATAGACTTACAGCTGTCACCTGGAAGTGAAAATGGAGGTTATTTCTCCTGTAATGGTCTATCTTGTTCACAAAAATGGGCTCTTAAGAGAGAAGAAGCCATTGGATGAGCAGTTTCACAGACTGACACTGGAATTGGTGAGACCGCCAGCGTCTGTTGGTGAGAGAGACAAGCCTTCAAGCTTACACGGAGCTCGTCTGGGAAACGTGTCTTCAGATACAGCTACAGCTGCACCGGCACAGATGCACTGCTGTCACGCTTTAGTGAAGACGTTCCGGTGCTGATGGGAGAGCTTCTCCTGTTGACGTAGTTGATACCCCTTTCTGAGAGGTGGTAGCTATGTCAGTGGGAGAAGCTCATTGTCTACACCAGGGGTTAGATCAGTATTACTACATCACTAAGGGGGGTGGATTTTTCACACCCCTGAGTGAAGTAGTTATACCAATATAGGTCTGTAGTGTAGACCTCACCTCTGAGTGTCATACGTAAATACAATATGAAATAGATAGCATGAGTAATTAACACCTATTTCAAGGAACCATTCAACCCCTCCAACCCCTCAGACAGAGACAAACACCTACAAGATCTCTATCAAGCATTCTTACAACTACAGTACCCAGCTGCGGAAGTGAAGAAACAGATTGACAGAGCCAGAAGAGTTCCCAGAAGTGACCTACTACAGGACAGACCTAACAAAGAAAATAACAGAATGCCACTAGCCTTCACCTTCAGCCCCCAACTAAAACCCCTCCAACGCATTATCAAGGATCTACAACCTATCCTGAAGGACGACCCAACACACTCAGAAATCTTGGGAGACAGGCCAGTCCTTGCCTACAGACAGCCCCCCAATCTGAAGCAAATACTCACCAGCAACCACACACTACACAACAGAACCACTAACCCAGGAACCTATCCTTGCAACAAAGCCCGTTGCCAACTGTGCCCACATATCTATTCAGGGGACACCATCACGGGGCCTAATAACATCAGCCACGCTATCAGAGGCTCGTTCACCTGCACATCCACCAATGTGATATATGCCATCATGTGCCAGCAATGTCCCTCTGCCGTGTACATTGGTCACACTGGACAGTCTCTACGTAAAGAACAAATGGACACAAATCAGATGTCAAGAATTATAACATTCATAAACTAGTCGGAGAACACTTCAGTCTCTCTAGTCACTCGATTTCTGATCTCAAAGTGACTATCCTTCAACAAAAAAACTTCAAAAACAGACTCCAACGAGAGACTGCTGAATTGGAATTAATTTGCAAATTGGATACAATTAACTTAGGCTTGAATAGAGACTGGGAATGGTTGAT